AGAAAATGTAATTAACCAATGAATTAGTATTAAGCATTCTTTTTAGGACGATTGAAAGAGTAAGAAAATGTAATTAACCAATGAATTAGTATTAAGCATTCTTTTTAGGACGATTGAAGTGGTCAGAAAATGTAATTAACTAATGATTTAGTGTTTTAAACCGACTGTATTAAATATAGTCATGTTGAGACATCAAATAGTAAGTTTTAATGCTTTCATGATATCGTCCTTTTAGGACGATTTAAATAGTAAGGAAATAGAATTAATAATTAAGTGATAAGCGTCCTTTTTAGGACGATTTTAATCGTCAGGAAAATTAATTAACTAATGAATTGGTGTTTTATATCGACTATATTATTTATATTAATGTTGAGACATGTTATGGTGGTTCAATGGAACTATGACGTCATGGCCGCCTGTCATGGCAGCCTAGAAACATGTTCTCTACTTACTGGAACTACTACTTAATCGCCCGTCATGGCGGCCTAGCAACTAGCCCTCTGGTGACAATTTGTGACGTCATGGCCACTTATAACGGCGGCCTAGAAACACATTCTCTACTTCGTTCATGATGTTAGAATAACACGTAGGTTCAAGAAGTCTTGATAGAAATGAAACAAATTCTTATAATCCGAGCGCTTTCGAAAGGTGGACTTTTTTCTTCAGGGGCAAACTAAAAAATCCACCTTTCGAAATCGCTCGGTTTATAGGAATTTTATTCTTCTCTATTTCGTGGTACTATTGCGTAATCGTCCATCATGGCGGCCTAACAACGAGTCCTCTGGTGACAATTTGTAGAACTATCAGATCACCGTCTTTGATGGCATCACCACTTCCCCTATTGCCCGGCGACCCCCACTGAGGCGGCATTTTTTGGTGGTGCAACATCCCCCCTTAACTATTCCCGGTTTTTCTCGGTGTTGGAAATAACGTATTTAATGTTACATGCCCTTAAATACTTTGATTATTAGAAACCCAAATCTATTTTCGTATTAGAAATCAGCGCGTGTCTTGCATGTTATAATCCCTGATCTATCTTTAGTATTAGAAATCTATGCTGTTTTTTTTAGATGTTGGAATAGATTGCCGCAATCTGTCTTCGATATTGAAACCCGAGATTTATCCTAAGCATTATAAACTTCAGTTTATTCTCAGTGAAGGAATCCAGAGTTTGCATGTTTTTGGTGTTAGAAACAGGTATCTATCGTGAGTATAAGCAACCCTAGTTTGTTCTTAATGTTGGAAACCAGAGTCTGTCTTCGATATACTTTCATTAACTCTAAAATAAAACTCTAGGTTTCTGTTATTCAAACAAATTTTTGTCAAGCCTTTTCGGTATCGCCACCAAAAACCAGTAGGGTTCTTCACAAAGTACAAAACTAAGGAATATTTTTTCTATTCTCCAGTCAGAGAACTAAGAATTTTCCGCCTAGTGACAAAGCGGTATGTCTGTAGACTCATAATTTGATTCTTCTATTCAAAAGTGACTAGACTCTTAATTTGATGATTGCATTCAAAAGTAAAAACACTAACAACTTGATGACTGTATTTAAAATTTAGCTCCCCAGTGGCACAGCAATATGTCTGCGGACTTCCAACGCTAGAAACCGGGTTTCTATACCCGTGATAGGCAGAGCACAGATACCCCACTGTGTAGCTTTGTGCTTAACTTCAAACAAACTAAGAATTTTTACGAAATCTTTCAAAAACAATTTAGTAGAAACTCATTGAGTTTACTTTAAATCTTAATAATAAAAATTTCTGTTGTAAAATTAATAATCATTTTTTTTGCTACTTCTCTATTTACGGCATTATTATCTATACTGTCCTTACTCAACTATCATGTGCGAACATGATCATGATTTTCATACAAATTCTATTTGTTTCCTGGTTTTATTATTCATACTTTCACCTATCGTGACAATCTTTCGAAGTAGGCTATTTAACTGAATTGATTATTATTGTTGTATAAGCGATGAGGCATAATTAACAGGTGAAAAATTCTATACGAATGAAAATTATATGTCAAATCAATCTAGTATTTAAAAAAAATGATTATTAAAATATTTCATCACTTAATCATCTCTCATTTATTATTAATCTTAGCATCAGTGACGATGTTTTCAGGGTCTTTGAAGTTTATATAATCAAGCATATCTCAGAAGTTATGTGGATAAAATGTCTGAAAGAAACATTATATATTTTAGAAACTACTTTATTTAGAAACTTTTCTAAAACTCTTTCTTCCGTTTAATGTAAAGAGATAAGCTTAGTTTGCAGGTGTTTTCACATGTATAAAAGAATGAAAGCTGTGATTATAGAATTCTAATTATGTGAGTTTACGCTAGTCAATGTAACTGTTTGTGTACTAAAACATGCGGTTTGCCTGAGAATATTTGTTCATACTTTTTTTATATTACATGTCTGTGTTTTACGTATAAGCTGTATTCAGTGTTGTATATGTAGATTACGTTTTTTTTTTTCGGTCAGACCCATTTCTCTTGGACTAACGCTGCCTCTCCTCCTGCAGTAGCAAGCCCACTTGGTCGATCTGATTCTTCTTCGTAAGAACAAGGTAAAACGAAGAAACGTTTTGTTTGTCCTGTAAATCTGCATACTCATGCCCACAGAATCAAAACCGCAGATAAACACGTATGTTAATTGATATGAACAGCGGAAACGTAGTGCGCTTTGGCTCACCGAGCTGTTATTAATTCATCTTCAACCTTTGTAGTGTAGCGCTTGCATCCCAGAACTTGGTGGGTGCACGAAAATTCCGCATTATGGCTTATCAATTATGTCCTAAAAGTGTTTCGTGCTGCCTGAAGGCGTGAAATACTCTCGCCTGTTACTTGCACTTACGTAAATGGACGGGCAGGCGTTAATAATGCAGCACTGGGAGAAGCAGATTGCTACGTAGAGACAGCAATTTTCCCGGTTAGTGAGACTCGATGTGCTGTTCACTGGATATCCTCTAGTGCCAGACAGACGTGAGTTCCCACTCTCTTCAACCTACGTAAGCTTGTGAGCTCGTGCGCACGGAGAGGACAGTGAGTTCCAGACTTGAGCAGTAGTTTGTATGCACTCAGAAGGAAACGCCTCTCTCGCGCTGCAACATATACGCCAATGGTAATGTGATGTGTCGAAGGACATCAATCAGGCAGTGGTGGTTTCCATTTTCTAAAAAAAAAGTTTTCTATTTTATCGCGAAAGGGGGAAAAAACAAAAAACAAATCCATTCCTGCTGACAAGATTTCAGAATGATGGGACGCTAGGAACATAAACTAAAAACAAAACACGTAGCTGCCGTTTATAAAAGCCTGAATATAATATTAAAACTCGTAGTTTAATGAAGGTAACAGTTAGTGTCAGGGAAATGCTAAAAATTATTTGTTAGCTAAGTGTGTGTTGAGCAGCAGTTAGAATGGGAAACATATGTAGATAAACTTTTTATTGAAATAAATTACGAATTCTAGTTTGTAATTATTAAAGCGAAAAATTCTTCGATTGTCATGAATTCTAATGCATATCGTTTTTATTTATTTTTTTCCTTAGAAGTTGTTTTCTTTGCAAAACTTTCTTGCTATACGTTAAAGAAACAAAATCACTGAAGGCGGTTTTCTGCAGGACTCTCCGAGTCGCGGTTAAATATTCTCATAGGTTGAACCAGTTTAAAACAAATTCCAACAGACGGTTATATGAAATTCGAATGACTAAAAAAGCAGGTGTGCTTAGACCTTTGCTAGACACTCGTCCAATTCGTCATATCTATCTAAACCATATAACTTGTTCAAATGAGTGCCTAGAAAAACAAAACAGGTACAAAACTAATATATACCACCATTTTAACGATTACTCCATACAACAAATATGACACATTAAATATTCTCCGAAAACGAAACATATACAAAATGCGGTTTCAAACTTCATGTAAGTATAAGTTAATAAGAAAATGTTCATAATGCACGTTACGATCGTGATATCCTCACACATCGCTTTCCCTTCTTATACTCACCAACTTTATTTAGGTTGTGCTTATTCCTATTAGAAATGGATTGATACTAATGTAAACATAACAAATTGCTGTTTATTACTATAATCAATAACATATAGATTTAGAAATAGGTTTTGTTTCTTACTGCAAGCATATTGCTTTATTCATTCGCCTCTCGCGGTTTATTCGTTCTCTTTCACACCTCTCTGTCTCCTTACTTTTCGTTGAACTCCTCTCTTTGATATTCCTTTCTCAAACTCACGCCGACAGGTTCCTTTTTTCCTGACCTTGCACCTGCATCCGATATCGGATTATAACGTTTCACAACCATAGGGGGTCTTGTTTTGTCTATAGCATTGAATTTAGAAAGGCAGCCGTTCATCCAATAATTTTCTAATGACTTAGAGTGCTGTAATCCCCTAATTTCCTAAAAACTGACCAAAAGCCGATTGTTTTCTCACCTCTCTTAACCTCAACCGATGATCCTGACATCTAACCTTATAATAGTGCACAAACAGTTATGTTTTTGTATTGTAGGAAAATAAATATTTTGGATAATGCATACTGTAATATTATTGATTTTGAACAGTACTAGAGCATGCAAATAAATAATTAAAATATAACTTTTTACTATATCCAATTAAAATATGTTCGTTGAAGCCGTCATCACCCTTCTCTTAAAATGCACTTTATATGTTTTGACTTGTCAATGTTATCTCCAGGAATAAGTTATATATCTAAGGTTTTAATATTTATATACTTCTTACAAGTCATGTGATATTATAGTCATACAATATTTTGATGACTTAATGGCCAACCTTTACAGTAGTTTACCCCATGTACCAATACAATGAATTGCTAATATTTATAACAAGCAGTCGCTGACTCAATGTCAGAAAATATTATTATTTTGGTAGGTGGTGTGGTATCCCATTAGATCCGGAAGTTTGAAAGCGTAAAAGTGAAGTACATAGCAGTACAGGGCATGATCCGTGCTGTTTTCTGTAATCCGAATAGTCGTTAAAGTGTTTCTAGTCTATCAAAATGTACCATTCGTAGGATTTTTTCGTCATTATTTTAGTACTCTTCTCTCCTCTTATTCTTGTAATATTCATGCACATCATTCAGAATCGTTCTCTTCCTTTTGTTCTCTTCCCCGTTCGAGAGCAAGCTGTCAGATACATCCGTAAGTTCATTATTCCTGTACATGGCCTGGTAGTTAGGGCGCTCGGCACGCAATCTGAGGGACGCGCGGATTCGAATCCCCGACACCGAACGTGCTCACCTTTTTAGCCGTGGGGGCGTTAATATAGTGAAGATCAATCCCACTATTCGTTAGTAAAAGAGTAACCCAAGAATTGGTGTGGGTAATGTTGACAAGCTGTCTTCCTTCTTGTCTTTCACTGCTATATTAGAGACGGCTAGCGCAGATAGGCCTCGTGTAGCTTTGCGCGAAATTGAAAAAAATTCCAACCAAATCAAACCTGTTCCTGTACACAGACGTACTTATCTTGACATCATCTCCTCAGCTTTCCCGACATCACTTACAGCTAACTTTTGGGCAACTGATGTGCCATCATAATTGCATCCACGCCTGCTACACTTGTAACACCTCGGACATCTTGCTACACTACATTTAGTTTTGAATCTGACATCGTTTTCATTCCAAGAAGAACAAACATTCAGAAAGTCTGGTTTGT